CTTTTGAAAAAGTCCCTCTAGCAAAACTGGCAGCCTTGTTACCTCTAAACAAATAGATTTTTGTAATGCATTAAAAATAAGCAAACACCAATATAACAAAAGAAAATCTGTGTGCCCATCAAGGTCAAGATGCCTCTTTCAAACTTCTCTCAAGTCCTTGAAAAAGTGTCCACCTGCCCCCAGTCAACGGGAAGGTTCAAGAAGCGCTTCTGCCTCACCACTTACAATAATCCAAAAGTTTAAATAGACACAAACAGATAAAACCCATAAAGCCTTTGCTCCCACCCCCACCCCAAACAGCCCAGTTCCTCCTTCTACGGACTGCCACCAAGTCCTTCAATTTCAGGTTGCATGACAGATTCAAGCCATCAATTTGTGGATAGAAAATGGTCCAAATTTAATTCTCAAATCTTATTAGTGATTAAAATTACTTTTCAATTGATTTGCTAGACGATCAGCCTGCCGGAGAAGCTTTGCATCTTCATTTATAAGGAGAGTAATTGAACGATACATTGTATGCCTATTGACCGCCAAGGCAAGGTTGCTTCGGAGTGGTGGGGGGGGGGGGGGGAGAGAAAGAGAGATGCATACTCTTTCCCTCATGTGTATAAGCTAATAACATTTGCATTTGACAAATGAAGAGTGACCGCCTTAGTGATTGGAGTCATTTTTGCAAAACTGTACTGCAGTGTGTAAGAAAGAGTAACTTTTATTAATTTCATTATTTCTCCCTTTTAAGCAAAGAGAAGTATTGGACCTCTGGAGTAGGGTACATAGAACAGCTGTTGTTATGAGTGCAACGGATAGGCAAAAATCAAATGCGATCTTCCTTGCTAATTAAAAAAGAATAATAGAGTTGTAAAGTTGGAAGGTTCTCCAAGGATAATTAAATTCTGCCTCCTGATAATGCAGGAAATTCAAAGCAAAAGTGTCCCTGATAGGTGATCATCTAACCTCTGTTGGAAAACCACCCCATGAAGGAGAGTCCACCCCTTTCCTAATGCTGTTTGTTGCACTGTTCACTCTTACCCTGTTCAGATCAACTGTAGATGACCTCACACCACTCCACATAATGCAAAGATAACTGTGTTCGAGTAAAGGCAGGCAACTCTGACCTTCCAGCAGCCCTTGGTCTGCCTCTCTCATCATTCCCCACCATTGACCATACTGGCCAAGGCTGATGAGAATTGTAGACCGTTCTGCCCACCCCTGTCCTAGATCAGCCAGGCCAAGGGCATCATGCTAAGAAATGTCATGATAGGTTCAGAGCGACAAATTGAGGTCATTGCCTAAGCCAGACTGAGCTTTTGTGCAGAGTGGTTAAATATCTGTCAGGTTTAGGCAGCAACCCATAATTCATTCCCTCGCAGCTCAGTTTCCTTTGTGAAACTGGTGACATGAGAGATAATCTTCCGTGACTCCAATACACGTCTCTTTCATGTTGAGGTATTTGTTGAGCTATTATTTTCTGCTGTCTCCTCTTATCTGTGTCATTTTTATCCAATACTTTCCGTTTTGTCATTAGGTGCCCTGATCTCAGCATCTCTGTCTTGCTCTGGGAATATGTATCGCAGAAGTGCGTACATGCTCCCTCTCTCATTCTTGCGCTCTTATGTCCCCAACCCCAATACTTGGCCTGTCATCTCCTTGAAATGTTCAGCAGGGCAACACTGTTCTCCATCTTTGAAAAAAGGCCAAACTCTTCCTCCACAATCCTCAGAAGGTAAAATGACAACACTATCTTCATTCCAAGGCCAATCATTAAATGACGCAAGCAAAATGAAACAGAAGCCCAACACAGCGAAGGTCAGAGATGCAGAGCTGGATATACTTCTGATGCCTCCCTCAGCTGTTAATTAAATGGAATCTGCCATTGCAGAGTGGACCACAAAGGGACTGGAAATGGGCTGAAGTACTGTTTCCTCAGGCTAGCCATACAAAGCAGCTGATCGTTTGGTAGCCTCTGCAGAGACAACGCCCCAAAGGCAAAAGCCTCACCAGACCCATGGGTTCACCAGCTTTGCACACACAGATCAAGTCAGGGATCAGGGACCACCATGTCTCTGAAAACTAGGACTTAGAAGATATACTATGGTGGTCCAGTAGTGTAGCAGCCCTGGGGCTTGAAGGATTGAAACACCAGAACTTTTTGATTAACAGGGATGATTATGTCATTTGGACACACTCCACCTAAGATTCCTCCCATTCCCTCTCCATTACAATTATCACAGCCAGGATCTCCTCTGTAAACACACCATCGTGAGTTATCCCTCTTGTAATGCAAACTATCTGTATCTTGATTTTGACTCAAGGAAGATAGCTTTATCAAAGACCTGTTCTTGGTGGGGCTGAAACAAGTAGAATGGTTTGTTGATATGGATTCAACTGAGATGCTGCATGTTTCAGCCACCAAAACCTGAGATCCAGAGATCTGGGACTTATTTAAAATGATACCAGGTCAACAAATCCAGGTTTCTTTCAGACACTCTTAGGCATACAGAAACCTGTCTGAATGTTTACCCATCTAGCTCCATAACATGTGCTAAAACTAGGAATGGCTCTCTAAAGTCTTAGGCAAAGCTTTCCTTCCACATAACTTAATATTTTGAATTCAAGATGCCAGGAATTGAGTTTGGAGGATTCTGCATGCAAGGAACACAATTTATCATTGCTTTGGCACTCTTCTGTATATTAGCACTAAGCAAAAAGATTCCTTCAAAATAAATGTACTCTCAATTAAAAACAGTGGAGATCCTGCAGATGGATGGAAGGGCTGGATTTCATGCCTAATTACAAAGACTATAATCATCATCATCAAACTTATTTTTCAGCATTGCTGGTGCAAGTGGGCAGACAAAAGGGTTAAGCCAGAAAATTATAAATCAAGTCCTCAAATTTTGCAGGTGAGATTACATGTTTGCAAAATCTCTATTTTTTTTAAAAAAAATTCAGGAATGAAATTAGCAGCTATTGGCCATTTTTTAAAATTGGTAATCAAAGATTTAGGAATGACTCTGGTTGTTGAAATTAGTATGGGGAGGAGGAAGAGTTGTGCTGTTATCATTATCATGATTTTTAAAAGTATCTGCTTACAACACAGTGTGAAGTTTCTCCACCCCGTGATGGCAATTCCCTGTGTTTGGCAAGTACTGGCATAATTCTGCAGCCAGCTGCATGCAGTTTGCACGGCTCCCCCATCGATGCAGGTGTCAAACAAGCAGTTCTTGTAGAAGAAGGTGGGGTTGACCTTGCTGTGACACCTGGAGAAGACACCGCTCTTGGTAGGGATCAAGCTGCATAGCTGCTGGGGTTTCCAGAAACCTTCCACCTTACGGCAGGCTGGGCACCTGTCTCCACAGCCCACCTGACAAAAGGGGTCCCTCCTGGCCCAGCTGTGGCCAAACTCATTAATGCTGGAGGCCAAATGGCCACTGAGGGTCTGGAGGTCATCGCCAGGGTTGCCATTATATTGTCCACAAAGTCCAGAGGTTGCATTCTGGAGGCCCCGCGGAACAGTGACGGAGAGGAAGGTCTTCCAGTCATATACCACTTTCAGGCCAAAGTCGGTCTCCACCACGATGTGGAAACCGAAGGCAAAAATATTCACTTTCCCTTGACCCAGCTTCAAGGGCAGGTAAAGACGTTCATTGTTAATCTGCGAAGAGAGGCAAAGAAGTTTGTTACAGAGCATGACAAATTCTGAAGGTGGACTTCAAAGAAAGAAACCAAGATTCACATCTGCACCCAAGCTGTGATGCTAGCAGTGTGGCTTTGGGGCAGTCGTCATCGTGCTGTCTGTCTTGTTCATAGGGCTGTTATCAAGCTGAAACTCTGCTCTGATCTTCTTGGAAGAAAGGGTGGGTTACAAATGTAATTAATGGATCAGTTTTTTAAAAGGGCTTTAATTTTAAGATGAAAGACACACTCCACCAAGTTGTAATTCCAAAACATTGAAATAACAGTCTATCTCAAAGTTTGGTGAATTGAAGCGCAGGGAAATCAGCACGGAACACATCCATCTCAGGCATTCTTGGTCATCTGAAAAATCTGGTGGTTCTGTTGCCCTCGTATAACCCCACCTTATGTAAAAGATTCAGTCTGAATGAGCTCCAACTATCTTTGATTTCAAAACAAGTAATGTATTCTTGTGCAGATGGATGGACTATAGGCCTGTTCTGACCTGTTCTTCCCATGAATTCACAAGGAAAAACATTGTGAATCAGATTATATGTTGAGGGAAATCCATATTGGCTTCTCTTTCTTAGCCAGTTTCTTAAGACATGCAGATGTTACACTGTTAACTGTCCAAGAGATAGACATGCAGCAATATGCTAGCTCCCAGGGGGCAAATTACTCCCACCCACTCAGCAGTTGGAAGAATTGTACAGTAGAGTCAGTAGAAGCTTCTCTATAATTTTAGTGTCTCTGCATACCTAAGATGAACTTTCCTGGGGAGGGGGTACTCCCTGTAAGTTTATAACTTAGATGGCCGAAACCCAAATTTCACCAACCTTGAAGCGCTTGTAGAGAAGAATAGGGGAAGGTTTCCTGAAAATCTGGTGTCTCTAGGTGCTTGAGGGCTGTTTTATAGGGTTTTAAAGTCAAAATTGAATTGATGAATCAATCCATCAGAAAAAAATGTTAATTCATAATGTGTGATTTGTTGACCTTGATGAATCACGAATCACCATTTTTCTGATTTGTGCCCACCTCTAATCTGGTACAGTGATTCCCAGCCTTGGGTCCTCAGTTGTTTTTGGATTAAAACTCCCAGAAACCTTCACCACTAGCTGTGCTAGCCAGGATTCCTGGGAGTTATAGCCCAAGAATATCCGGGAACCCCCGATTAGAAGAGGAGGAGGAGGAAGTTTGTGTCTGTGCAGTTAGTTGACTTACTAGCACGGTGTGTTTGTAGGCTCTGTGGATAACAATGTTGTAACTGAAGACTTCTACCTGCACCTGCTTCACCCACAAAGCCAGAGATGGATCCCGATCCTCATTCTTGGCAGTGACTGTGAACTCAGGGAAGAAGTCTGACCTCTCAAAATGCTGCCGAGTGATGGTTGTGCAGAGAATCAGAGGACAGCTGCTTTGAAAGTCAAAAGTAAACCCATCAAAAGTCAAGTAATGGCCATAGCCAGATACGATGCAGGAGGCATCAGTCCGGACATGGCAGTAACGCAGCCCACTTTCCTCCAGGCAGTACTCATCTTCCTTACAGGGGATGTTTTCACAGTGCACGCTGTTGTCAGAGCCATTGCAGTAGCAAAAATACTGGCAGTCGATATCCATCCAGAAGGTCTGGTTAGTGGAAAGCTGGTGGCCCTCAAAGCTGCACCCGCATTCAGTCCTGGGAATGCAGTGCGCACCCCGGAAAGCAAAACCTTCATCACATTGGCAGCCCTCCACACAGGTGTCTAGGCATACGGGCCCAGTCAACAAATTTTCACAGGATTCAGAGCAAGTCATGCATTCCTCAAAGTGGCTGTTCTCTGGACAGGTGAGGGCTAGAATACAAGGAGGAAAACACAAGGTCAGCAATATGTTGGGTGTTTCCCCTTACACCCTACCAAGCTGGTTCCTCTGTGTTAGTAACACAAATCCTCACTTCTCTAGGATGTGGAACCACAGTTTTTCCCTCCTCACCAATGAGCCAGAAAGATATGTATTTTCTATTGACATCAACAAGGATAAATCTTTTTTTAAATAATCATGCAAAATTATGATGGCTTCTGCTTTGTTGTATGGACTTCTTGAGAATGAAAAGAACCCTGTGGGTTGTTTGTACCTACCTGAAGAGTCAGGTAGCCTCTCTTTGCTGGTTGTGTGTGTGCACACGTGCATGTGTGTGTGCTAGGTTTATGCAGAGATATTTTGTGGAAATGGTGGAAACCCTAATTGGGGAAGCAAGAAGTCTGCCTCACTCTCACACTGGAGATGAGAAATCTCATGCTGCTTGAAAATCCTTGACTAGTTTACTCGCACTGTGTTGATGCAGCCTGAACTAATGACAATAAGGAGTTCAGCACATATTCTTCACATCTCTAATGTGCACACAATTTCAAAACAATGAAAAAGCAACTCAAGTCAGAAGTTCAAATCTTGAATTATTTTTTCTGCTTCTCCACCTTAATTGGTGGGCAGGTGAGATAAGTCAGTTGGCAATGGAGATACAATACAATATCACTGGTATGCTTCAGAAGAAAAAGCAAAAGTTACTTTAGAATATAGCTCCCAGAATCCCAAGTTGACACATACTGGCTGGAACATTCTAGGAGTAAGGATTTAAAAAAGTAACTTTCTCCATCTCTTTTTTCCTATAATGCGGATCATTTGGGACTGCCATCTTGCTGAGTCCCTTCTCTCTATGTTACTATAATCAGTGTCTCATTGTCATCCATTTATGACATGCTTGTAGTATAAGGGCACCAGAAGCTGTATGCGAGTTTCTTCTCTGTAGCAGACACTGTGGAATCAAATTAGGAAAATAGATGCATGGAACTTGTCTCTATACACAGCTTCCCGCACCTGGAGTGAGCAGGAAAGAAGACATTGCTATCAGACTCTTTGAATGAAACAGACTGGCAGGAGATGCAGGAGAGATGAAAGGAAGCCAAGTTCATACAATACCCAATCAACTTACAGAATTCTCCACCGTGAAAGAGAAGGTGTTGGTTGCTCATCTGTATAGATTTAAAAGGGAGTCGAAACCAATTCGTGGGTCTCTTCCATGCCCATGAAATGCAGAGCTTGAGAAAGAGCCTTTTTGTGCAGTCATTTGGGGACTCTCCTGACCAACCTGGCCAGGGGTTGGGGAATTCTGGGAAATGTATGCTGAATGGAGCCATCCTGGTCAAAGGCAGGCTACCTCTTACTGAAGTGCATTTTTTCCAAGTTGAGGAAGGAGTTACTGGCTTAAGCAGGTCTGGGAGCCAACACTGAACAATATCCTGTTGCTTAGTATACTAAATTGCACTAAAGTAGGCTCACTCAGTCAGTGGGGATTTGGTGAGTCAACTCTTTTGTAAGTTCTACTGATTCAATGGGCCTGTTCTAGTGCCATTTTGTATTGTAAGTGATCAGCCTACTATAATGTGATTTACTATGCTAAGCAACAGGATTTGGCCATTGTATAGTATCTTGGAGACAAGAGCTATCAGCCCTGTACAATAGGATCCCAGGAAAACCCACAGTTCTTCAGAGAGTTTAAAACTATGTATACACAGAGCCCAGTAAGGACTGATTAGGGTTCTTCAGAGAGTTTAAAACTATACACAGAGCCCAGTAAGGACTGATTAGGCTCAGTGAGAACAGACTGCTGAGCATTGGGTGGAAGAAGAGACGGGGTATCCCACACAGAAGCACTGTACAGTGAAAGAGTTGGTTGAGGTTCACCTTGTGATGGACCAAATTGGAATGACATCACTGGGAAATGCCCAGGCTTTGTAAAATTTCTGAAGAAGGCAGAAAAGAAGTAACCCATGGGCCAAAGGAACATTTTGCTGACTGCCATTGTTGGTAACAACACTACTTTGATGAATAACATCAATGGATGTTGGAACCTTAATTAGGCCTGTAGAAGATGATAAGTGAAAGGAAGGGAAACAGAGGTGGGACCTTGGATGCTTTCTTCTAGAAAAAAAATTGGATGTACATTGGAAACCTCCCTCTCTTCTGGGCCCAGTAAAAATCTGGTTGCAGCTCTGATCACACCTACCCACCCACCCCCCGGCAACTTCTGTCAGCTTAGCTAAGCCTTCTGTGCTGATGCATGCTTCCGCAAGGCAGAGCTTCTGTGTTTTCCTTTAGATTATGATAATCATATCACTGGCAGCAAGACTATTACCATAGCTAAACAAAGCAGAACTCACGCACATTGCAACCATCTCTCTCATTCCAATGAGCCTGTGTTGTTACAACGTAAGCCAGGGCCTCTTCTGCATTCCATTCCACACACACACAAAAAGTCTCCTGATGTTTTTTGGAAAATTCATTCTGTGAAATTACTTAATTAGGAAAGTACATCTGGAGGCAAAATCCAACCTGCTAGGGAAAGAAGTAACACCTCCCCCGCCCCCGAGGCAGACACGTAATGCTTCTGAAATACCTCCTTAAATGTGTATATTGTATGAATCCATGAGATGCTCATCGTTCTGATGGGAACGATGATGAAAGGGATAGATTTTGCAGGAGAGATCCCTGAGTCTTTTGGGAAGTACATCAAAAGATGAGATTCCAAGGGTGTTTGCTCATCATTCTTTCTCTGTAATCTCTACCCCATCACTTTTTTTAAAAAAAATGCCCTGGAAAATATATAGGTCTCCAAACAATTAGAAGAATTATAGTTCCTAAGCATGCACAGAAACTCTTCTTCATCGTCATCATCTTAGAAGTGCAGAGCTGGAAGGGACCCTATGGATCATCAAGTCCAGCCCATCGAGGAGCATAATGGGGAATTGAACTCCTAACCTCTGGTTCTGCAGCCAGATGTTTATACCACTGTGCTACCCAGCAGTTCTCTTTAGGCTGTTTAGATCATGGCCTGTATAAAAGCAATATTCCATGCGGTCTAGAAACTTAACAATTTTTTTTAAAAAAAAGAACAAAAGACTTGAGCTGCTTGGGACCCAAGGACCGCATGATGCTGGGCTCTGCTAGAGTGTATCTATGTCCCTTAAAAACAACAATGCCACTGAAAGGGATGTTTAACCCCCTCCCCTGCACAGCCCAACTTACGACAAAAGTTCATGCTTCTCCAGTGGCCAATGTCTATTTCAGCGTTCTTGCAGGCGCTAGCATAGCGAGCCACAGAGTCGCAGAGCTCGGACTGGTTTCCTCCGCTCTGGCACAAGCGGAAGAGGCAGGTCCGGTAATAGGCAGACACATTCACCACGGAGTGGCATTCCAAGAAAGAGCTGTTGGTGGGATCATTGATAACGCCACATTTGGAACGGCTCCGATACTCCTTCAGAAGCTCTGAATCATTGTTGCAGGCCTTCAGCAGGTCCCCGCACTCTCCGTTACAAATCTCATTAAACGTTGTCCAGCTGTCCAGAAAGACCACCAGGTTGTCTGTACACTTCCTATTTGGGAAGCAGAATTCGTCGCTGCTGTTCCCATTGAAGAAACCACAGAGGCCGCCAGTGCAGTTGAAGTAGATTGTTGACAGACGTATCTCCAACAGACCATAGTCTGAGTACTGGATATGGACAAGCCCTTCTGACTCAACAGCAGTCCCATTTTTGCTCCGGTAGATTTCCAGTTGGCCAGAAGGATGGAAATACGGAAGCTCTGTTTCATATCCGTTGACCTTCAAATGAAAGAAGGGGGAAAGGAGATGAATTAATGAGTAAGTGCAGAAAAAGGTTGATGAGTCAAGCCAAAGAAGCCTCCAACATCCTCTTTTCCTCCTTTTTGCTTGCAAGGGAGACACAGAACAGTCCAATGGAGGGCAGAAAAGGGAGTAACACAGATACAGCTTGTTTGATATGCTCTGAGATTCAAGATGCCTGTTGTCCAATGACCAATTCAAAGGCACTTAGGACTTTGCTACATAGAACGCTGGATTAGAAGAGTTGAGGGGAAGATTCCCATTGGGTCTGACAAAAGGCTCATGTGATCTAAAAAACCAGCTACAGCATGGGAAAGTAGCTTTCAATGACTATATCTGGATCTTGTATACAAAACCTAGAGTTCAAGGCAGTCACCTTGCTTTGCAGTCTTTGGGAACTTCTCATTCTAATCCCCAAATACAGGACTCAAGTCTATGAAACAAGAGTCTTTAAGGATGCTCTGTCACAAAGAAGCCACACCACATGCTCATTGATTTTTTCCAACTCTGCTTTGAACTTTGAGAAGCAATTTCTGCAGCTGTTCCAGGTCAACAGCCCTAGACCTTTATGCGTCTGATATTCAAAAACCCTCAAGACTGCCAGAGCAGAAGTGTGACAGGTCAGAGGCACTTGACTTGAGAGATTTGTATGTGAAGGAAGAAGAACATTTAGCTAAGTATATGCAGGAAGGAAGAATCAGAGCTCCCTACTAGGAGTGAGTTTATACAGTCGGTACTTACAATGAAATGTCACCACCAAATGTCACCACAAGACTGAGTACAAGGAAAATCTGATTGTGAAATGTCTCTCCCCTGATGCTCGTCACACATTAGCAATGCTCGTGCACTCACAGAAACAGCAGGATAGGGGTTCAAAGGTGCCGTTCAAATTGATATAAACTGTCCTCATTGCTAACTTTTCTTAGAGCATTCCCACCTATCAGATAGCAGTGTTGCCTATGTGAATGAGCCAGAGGGGAAAGGAAAATGTCAACAAGGCAGATCACAGAAGATATAGGAAGGGTTAAGAGCCTTGTGCCACAGAGGAGCCTCGTGGTGCAGTGGTTAAACCACAGTACTGCAGTCAAGACTCTGCTCACAAACGGAATTCAGTCCCAATGGGCTCAGGTAGCTGGCTGAGTCTGAGTTAGCCTTCCACCTTTTCACGGCTGGTAAACTGAGTATCCAGCTCCTTGGAGGATAGCAATGTGTAGCCTGCATATTTAAATTGTAAACTTGCCAGAGAGCGCTTTAAGTGCTATGGGGTGGTATATTAGCATCCGACTTTTTTTTTCCTCTTGTCCACGCACACATATGAAGAGTGTGCGATTTACTCTTCTCGCAATGTAAAAGTCTGGCAGGCTTTCAAAGGACTTCAGAAACCTACTGAACCTACTTGATGGAAGCCAGACAAAAAGACATGAACGTGGATCACCATAGATCAGATCTCATGCTAAGAGGAATTCAGATTTCCCCCTCTTACAGTGTTTTCCTCTCAGGCATAAAAATCTTTCACAGCTGTGTGCCAGACAAATCAGATATGCAAACAATGGACAAAATCCAGTAATGAGTCGCAACTAGAGTAGGCCCATTGAATCAATGGAGATTTGATGAGGTAGCTCCACCAGAAGTTTTACTGATTCCGTGGGTCTACTCTAGTTGTGACTTACTGCTGGATTTCAGCCAATGAGTACTTGACTGCTGATTACCAATTATAAAAAAAGGTTCCACATCACCTCTCTTGGTCATATGATGTAAGTGATTTTAAACTAACAATGAATAAAGGTCAAACATGAGTGCAAGTGCATGTTTTTTGCTTGTTGGGTAGGTTGGGTAGAACTATTGCTACAATTGTAGAACTAACCGCAGAGCTGAAAGGGGCCCTATGGATTATCAAATCCAGCCCCTGTCAAGGAGGCCCAGTGGGGAATTGAACTCCCAACCTCTGGCTCCATATCCAGAGACCCAAATCACTGTGCTATCCAGCACTGATAAGTAAATCACAGCTGCAAGGAAGCTTGGGTGGTCTTCTGAGAATGAATAGTGGGATGTTAACCATTTTCCCTTTGCTGCAGTCCATACAGATGGACAATCTCTAAAATTCTGTCTCCCTGCCAACATCACTCTGTCCTGTGGTCTTGAGAATTCAGACTCCATCATGGCTACAGTATTTATAATAAGAATAGACTCTAATGGCACCCAGACAACTCAGATCACATCTAATATAGCCTAAGGCTTCACGGGTGGGCAGCAACATTGCCCATATGTAAGTAATGCTGTAGCAGAAGTTCTCTCACTGCTCAAGCATCTGGATATTTTCTTGAAGGCAATCAGCCCTTCTCTCTGAAACAGACAGCTATTTTAACTGCCAGCAACACAAATTCAAAATGAGGTTTGTTTGATCATTCATCTAAACTCTTCCTGTCTCTTCCATCATTAGCATTAATGTTGCCTGTTAAAAATGTGCATTGGGAGAAGAATGTCAGCCATGGGTCTGTAGCTAATGAGATGCTGTGCTTTTCCTATCACAGATGATCCCAAGTCTCAACAGGATTAAGAAGAGAACTAAAACTTACTTTCATCCAGCACCGAGGACTTAAAAGATACTTGGTAAACAGACAACACTTCCAGGAAGGGTATGTTTTATTATTAATATGTTGTGCATCATTTTGGTGGGTAAGATGTGTGCTGGAACTACTGATGCAGCAGGCAAGGGAGTTGTGGTTAAGAACTACAGATTGGCCGTAAGCAAATAACATTGGATTTAGTTCCAGCAGAATCGTTCACATCAAGAATCTAAGGGGACACATGCTGTGTCAGAATAAAGATGCGTTTAGTCTAGTAGCTTGTTTCCCATTACAGTCAAACTGCTCCTGGGTGCCACAATGCAGCATGACCTCTGAAAAGTTACTTTTGGGGAAGACAGCTCCCAACAATCGAAAGGAAGTCATTATCTTGAAAATCAACTTTATCCAAGTTCTGGCAATACCTCCCTCCCCTGTGCCTCAAAAGGTGGAGACCTAACCTAGCCACAATATGACTAAGTGGGTATTTACTAGCTTTCTTTAACCATTTCTATGCTGCCCTTCAATATTAAGATTGCCCAAGTGGCTCACAACAATAAGCATAATGGTTCCATTTAGGTGGGTAAAGAATTATGTGCAACTCATCTGTGTTTGTGCCACAGTGGCCGTTGTGGGATCCTACATATAGGGTTGGACTATGCATTCCCATCATCCATGTGCGCAACCAAAAAAAAGCTCATCTGTGTTTGTGCCACAATGGCCGTTGTGGGGTCCTCCATAAAGGGTTGGACTATGCATTCCCATCATCCATCATTCTTAACTATGCTGGCTTATAACACAAGACTGATGAGAGTTGCATTCTTACAATATCTTGAAGGCTACACATTGCTTACCTTTGCTCCATACCAAGATGGCTGACCCAATAAAATCTATCAGTCCTTCCTTTTTTTAAAAAAGTCACTAATAGCAAGAGGTAGCCCTCAGAGCCACCTCCCATTGGGATTCCTACCTTGATTTCAGAGTTGTCTATGCCTCCTATCTTGACCTCTTGGCTGGCAACCAGGACCCTCAAAGTCCGTAGCCAGTCAAGACTGGCTTCCGGTTTCTTCTTGCTGATGTCCACTTCTAAGTAGTTGGGCCTGTCCGGGCAGGTTTTGACCAACGTGTAGGAGTTGTCCGGAGGGTAGTCGAAAACAGCGCCATCAAAAGTCTGCAGCACTTGATCTTGAGACACCAAACATAATGTTTCTCGCTTGGGGTAGCAGCCTTGGTAGCCGTTCTCCACAGCACAAACCTCCCCTTCTTGGCAGGTGGAGTTAAAGCAGGCAACATCTCCTCCATCCTCACACCAGCATTGTATGGTACAGTCCACGGAGGCCCAAAACGATTCCCCGATAGCGTGGTATCGCCCATCCACATCACAGCCACACTGATGGACCGGGACGCAGAGGTCCGTGCTGAGGACATAACCTACATTACATTCACAGCCCTCGGTGCATGGAGAGGTGCAAGCGAAGGGTGCCGTGAGGTCAGAGCAAGTAGCTGGGCAGCTGCTGGTACAGATGGAGTAGTGGCTGAATTCAGGACACTGCACGGCAGTAGCTGAAAAAGGCAATAGCAAGGGGATAAGAGGAGAGGTTTGTCTGCCACAGGACAGCCTAGAAAGGGGGTGGGCCATGGTCCTTACATCGGTTGGATCACAATTCCCATCATTCCCCTCCATTGGCTATGCTGGCTAGGGTTGATGGGAGTTCTGGTCCAGCCACTTGGCACTCCCCATTTTATATTAACTTAAAGGCCATACCAGAGGAATTATGTTTCTGTCCGCATACTTCATCTCCAGGTGAGGGATGTTGCAGAATTTCATTTGCATTTTAAATGAACCAACCTGATTTACATTTTCCAGACTTCTCTGCCACTCAGAACAGAACTAGCCTTTGGATTATAGACTTCTCCAAAGGGGGTGATGCAGATTTGATCTCAAAAAGTACATGCATAAAAATATTTATCATGAAGAAGCTACCTACCTAGTCTTCCTTAAGAGAATACAGCATAGATTTTTTTTTCCTATGTTAGGGAATTGTATAGAAAAATAGCATGCACATTTTTTGCAGAGGTTTTATGAAATTATTTGCAGGATGATGAAAAAAAAGGAGGAGGAGGAGGAAAGGTTGTACACTGGATGTATGCAGAACTGACATGAAGTAGATACAGACTGATCTGCATGGCCCTATTTTAGTAGCAATTAACCTGTATCAGTGGAGGAAGGTAGACTGAATAGATGGTCTTTGCAGCACCTTCCAAATCTGATTCTAAGAATTTATAAAATGATATCTTGCATTCTTAGGAGACGAAACTGCCCTAGGAAGTCTTAACTGCATGAGGAATTGTGGATGCATAATAATATAATACAATAAAAAGATAATGGGAAGTTGTGATGCTCTTAAGATTACTAAGAGTCACCCGAGTCAGGTATCTACAAGGTAACAACACAGAAGGCCTTGTCCTTCAGTTGCTCGGGTGCAAATCAAGGGCTGTGCCATTGTAGTCTGTGTTGGTATGTGATCAGACAGTCGGGTGATGTGGATAAGGAATGAGAAAGCAACAAAAGAGGGGAGGGGGAACAGCCTGAATGCACCTGATTTATTGTAGCCCTAAATGTCAGCTGTAAATCATATCGTATCTTGCTCAGATTCAAACAGAGCACTTACATGGCTCTCGCCCAGCAGTGAATTCTATCCAAGAGCAAAAAGCAAGCCAAGGTTTTGCCTCTCCTGGTTGGTTTTTTTCTGGCTGCCCCATAGGCACTTCAAGTGTCCCTTTGTCCTTCTCAGATTGCCAGCTGCTAGAGAGGTGGAGTTCAGGTTTCGCAGCAACAATGCCTATTTGAATACCTGTGCCTTCCAGTGCTTTCGACTAATCTTGTTGAAGGTTTTATTTTTAAAACAAAACCCTGGCAGTGCTCAGGTGGGAGCTTCTTGAAGGCAGCTGAAAATATCTCAGAAAAGGTATTGACATTAAAACCAGTCAAAGCCAGCCCTTCAAAGTCCTCACTTTGGGGCTTGTGTGTGTGTAACTGTGTTTGTGCACGCCCCTCTCCTTTTCCCGTACGTGCATAATATCCCTGTTGCATAGGAGAGATCAAAGGTCCTGTTTGGCTGCCATCCTCTTCCCAACAGTGGCCAGCGAGGTATCTTTGGAAAGCTGACAATGATGGAATGGAAACAACAGTCGGCAGCTTTTAGTAACAGATACCAAAGCCCGTTGGATACTATGGTGATTTCTGGGAGTTTCTCAGATTTAGCCATCAGCAATTTGAGTACCTCTACATAGGCAGTCTTTTAGATATACTTTTAGTTATCCTCTTACAGCACAGAATCAAAACACAGGAAGGTGCAATTACACTGATTTAAGTCCTTGTTCCATCAGCACTAACTGGAAGCTACTGCTCTGCAGGATTTTGAGTAGGAAATATTTCTATCCCGATGGTCTCCCATCCAAGATCTAACCAGGCCCATCCCTGCTTAGCTTCCAAAACCAGATGCAACTGGGTGTATTCAGGCTGGTATGGTTGTTACTGAAAGGCAATGTGGTGTGGTGGATACAGGGATGAACTGGGACTCAAGAGACATGGGTTCAAATCCCTGCTTCACCAGGGGTAGCATTTATAAAACCACTCCTTCAAGTTCTCATGTATCTTGAAAACCCTATAAGGGTGGCTACAAGTCAGATGTGATTTGACGGAACATAACAAACATGGTTAATGCCCATTTTAATGTACTGTATGTTATATCCCAAAAGGAGAGTATCCCAGTGATTGTGATATAAACATATATTCTAAAATGAGAACAGATTTAATGATAAGGGGCTGAACAAGAGGCATTCTTTCAGTTTACCCAATATCTGTCATTTCCCTGCCCCTCTTTTAAGCAACAAAATCTTCTTATTGTGTGGTGACTGTTTCTAGCAGTTGTCCTAGTCATACTGGCTGTTTCCTACCTTTTTCTCACATTCTTGAGAGAGGTTGGAGAGCAGGTTGAAAGTTGCCCTGCTAGATCCTGCTTTCGTTTCTCCCCACCCCATAGCATCCTTGAAGGTGGGGGCAGGTGAGAATGGAGTGTGTCTTTTATAAGGTTTCTGGCTCTCCAACTTGAGAGTTGGAGAGTCTCCTGGACTACAAGGAGATCAAACCTATCCATTTTGAAGGAAATCAATCCTGAGTGCTCCCTGGAAGGACAGATCCTGAAGCGGAGGCTCCAATACTTTGGCCATCTCATGAGAAGAGAAGACTCCCTGGAAAAGACCCTGATGTTGGGAAAGTGTGAAGGCAAGAGGAGCAGGGGACGACAGAGGACGAGATCGCTGGACAGTGTCATCGAAGCGGCCAACATGAATTTGACCCAATTCCAGGAGGCCGTGGAAGACAGGAGGGCCTGGTGGCTCTGGTCCATGGGGTCACGAAGAATCGGACACGACTTAACGACTAAACAACAGAAAGCTCTCCAACATCCCAATGGCTGTCCACTTACCGCATCCCACCTGCACTCTCCAGTCTCCAATCGAGATCCCAAGAGCTTGGCACACCAAAGCGTACGCCTGGATAGCCTGGCACAGCCCCCCTGTGCCGTTATCTCGGATGCTACACAGGTCATAAACACAGCTGTGGATAAAGGCCATGGGGTCGACGATGGCCCCGCATTCCCACAGAGGGCCTCCAGTTTTATTAATGAAGCCACAGTGCTCGGGGTCAAAGTAAAGAGACTCCATGGCTGCATCGCAAAGGCTGCAGTTGTCCAAACAGCCGGGGGAACACTTCCATTCAGGGTGGTAGACTCTCCAGCTGTCCCCCAAATCCAGCACAGAGGTGGCCATTTTCCCATCCGAGCGTAGGACGTCATCCTCCGGGTTCTTGTTGTAGTTTCCGCAGAGGCCACAGGTGGCATTGATGTAGGAGCCTGGGACTGAAATAGCTGCATAATGGTCTCCATCGTATGTTACCAAAAGCCCAAAATCTGTTTCTATCGCTGTCGACAGTCCACTCTGATAGATCTTTATTGCTCCCAGTTCCAGGAAGACAGGTAGAGACATGACCAGGTCATCAATCTGTAGGATGGATACAAAACGCTGGTTGTTTTAAAAACAAGAAAAAGGCAAAATAGAAGGGTCTGTGCATTTACTCTAGTTATATATTAGCCTTTGGCAATCTTACTAGCAGCAACAATAACATTAATTATGCAGGCCCAAAACGGACGTAATGCTAACAGAGTGAAAATCCCTGCAAATGGAATTGTAGTAGATTAAATTTTGAATGAGAAATTGTACAACCACTTGCATGATCTCACACGCAGCTGTCTTGCAATCTTTTGGTCAATTGCCTTACAAAGGTACCGGTAATCTCGGATATCACTCCCATACTGATTTTGAAATGGCAAAACCTCTAGCATAACTGCTTTGTGCTAATGCGATAACAGTGTGGTATACAGGTCTTTAAATTTAGAATCAAAAACAGAAAGATTTTAACAATTCAGCATTCAACCCCAAAATTGTTTTAATCCCAATATCCAAAATAAACAAGACTTAGCTATATAATTATCTGATGGTGTCACTGTGTTCTCTAGTCTGTTCTCCTTTACTGGGAGGCTTTTGTTTTATCATCCAGATCAGTGCTTTCCAACCTCAGGTCCCCAAGATGTTCGTGGACTACAACTCCCAGAAATTCTGGCCAGCACAGCTAGTGGTGAAGGGTTCTGGGAGTTTTAGTCCAAGAACATCTGGGGAACCCAAAGATGGGTACCATTGATATATATAGCTGACACCACCTAGCTCCTAGATTCCAGCAGGAAGCTGTGGACTGCATATGGTTCCACATTGTTTTATATATAAATGCACATTTTCCCTTGAATCCAATTGGTCTTCAACTAGAGCAGACCGACTGAATCAGTGGGATTTACATAATTATTGCCTAGTAAGTAGCAAGTCAACAACCAATTCAGTCAGTCCACTCTAACTGGGATTAGCAACTGGATTTAGCCAACTATGTGCAAAAGATGTTAACAATGTTAACAGTGAAGTAGTACTGGATTTGTTTGCCTCACAACTCGAAAACTGTTTTCTGTAAACCCAAGTGGGCAAGGAAAACAGTGTCTGCATTGGACCTATGAGTCTACCAGGTCAGCCTGAAGGGCATATATGACTTGCAGCTGCACATACTCGTGGAGATAAGCTGGCTGGATAGTTCAGTGGTTTAGCTAACTGCCTGTGGAGCCAGAGTCTGGCAGTTCAATCCCCCACTGGGCCTTCTGGAAGAAGAACCAGACTGGGTGGCCTTGGGCCAGCTGCACAATCCCAGAATGCCCTCAGAAGAAGGGAATGGTAAACCACTTCTGACTATTCTCTACTTGGAAAACCTTGATAAGGGCCTCCATAGAATTCACTAAACAGCACATGATGATTATTAAGATTCCTGGCAATGGAAAGATAGCATGAGTTCTGTTTTAAGGTCATTATAATAATCTAGAAAGGATATTCACAGCAACGTATGAGGAATGTTACCAAAAATTCTGCAAATTCTAATACATTATTAAAATATCCTTGTATTCCTGTACCTACATAAAATTTGTATTGCTATTTGCTCCCTTCTTGACTTCTCTTTTAACACTGTTTTTGTTTTTCAATTTTCTCCTTCCATTATATATCCAACCAAGGAACTTCCCAGCAGCCATAGGGCAGCTTCCTTTTAAAACAGGAACTTAGGCCTATCCAAGGCCTAAAGGCTGCCAGCTGGGACTTCTCTTCAAGTGAGCATCTTTGAGTGTCTGTAAGGTCTGATTCTGGCAGATGGGACTCCCAGTAAAGAGAATTATGGAATTATAGTCCAAAATAATTCAAGAAGAACATTGCTAGTAACTAACCCCAATGGGATTGACATCTCTGGAACCACTGTTCTCCATTTAAATTTGGAAACATGTTTGACCCCTTTCATTTTCCTTTGACCATGAAAAAAATGTGTACAGAAGTTAGAACTGCTTGCTTTTCACTGCTGTTAAACTTGATTGTCACAGACAAACGTTTCAGCTCAGCACTAGTGTTGAAAGAGTGCCCAAAGGCCCCTTAGGATGAATCTGGAAGGCCCTCAAAACAAAGGGAGGAATTGAGTCTCACCATAATTTTCCCAAAGCTGCCTTTAGGGATGATTATCTTGTGTGAATAAACCTCCACAGAGATATCTTTCAGCCAGGAGACAGAAGAACCCCCTCGATTCTCATTCTTAGCTTCCACACTGAAGAAAGGAAGGCTGGACCCTGGCCAGCACTGCCTTGCTAGAAGGTAAGAGCAGGAACCCTGAAAATGGAAGAGGAAGCCGTCGAAAGTGTGGTAATGTGGATCTCCAAACACCACACAAGTGCTGCTTTCCACTGGCACACACTGGTGGAAATTCTCCTTAGGCTCACAGATCTCATATGGTCCACAGGACACCTCCTGGCAGAAGAGTTCATTGTTGAAATCCAGGCAACGACATTTAGTGGAACAATTTGCATTTTCCCAGAATATCTCCCCTTGACGGAGAAACTGGCCTAAAAATAAAATTTGAAACAAAGCAAAACAAAGCATACCATGTTAACTCACTTTGGGAATGCCAAAGCAAAGTCAAGGCAAAAGCACTACATGCAGAAGGAAGAGAGAAACAGGACCTTGGACAGCACCCAATCGGTTGTGCTTGCTGAAGCTCTTTCCTGCCAAGATAGGAAGGTGCTTTCTCAAAACAGGAGCAAGGCTTATCTGAGCACGAGGAAGGCGGACAAGCCATCTGTCGATGCGCTGCCTCCACCCTCTTCCCCAGCTGCCCATGGAAAGCTAACTGAACATTGCCTTATTTCCGTGGGGACCATCCTTTATTTACCCATCCTCCACCTTGTAAAGTAGACATATTCTCCCATAACCATATTATACATGGATATCATGGTTCACTTAATGTAGTTGAGTGTCTTCTTGTGTGAGCCAAAAGCTCTGTCTGGGGCTTTGTGTTTATAGCGTAGGCTATTAACGGCTCTCTACCACAGCCCTCAGAAGGCAGCCTTGACAGAAGCGCTTTCTCAGAATTTTATTATCTGTTGGCATCTAATGTTTATCACTTCTTTAAACTACTTTCAGACTTCAGGAATAATAATTCTATGAACGAGCAGCCGGGGTCTGTTTTGCTCATGGGATGTCTATGCTAGAAACCTGTGTGTGTCTATGACAATATCAGTAGATACCAGTGGTGATAGCATTATATACATTTGTCAGGTGATCTTAGTAGAATACATTACGTCCTAAAAAATGTCATGCTGCCGCACCATGATCATAATATAGCATTTAGCAAGCCCCATGTCTCTGATAACCATCACAGAAGGTGAAAATGTGAGACATGTTTGTTCAAATCACAGTTCGTTGTCCAGAATTAAGTAAAAGTGGCTGGCACCTGCACATTGCAAAATCTATGCAGTGTGAATTACATCTCAAACATGCCGTCTCTGCTGTAACTAGATTTTAACAGCAGGTGAGTTATGTTTTCAACTTGAGGGACATTAATTCTGCAATTGCTTCGTTAGGCTCATTTTTGTACAGTATGAATTAACAGTAATCAAACATCTGTAGAGCAACAGCAATTTATGATAGCTGCAGAGCTACTGAACGCAACCCATGCTTTATGTTGTGGGTGGGTGGGTTCGTGGATATTATATTTGCTATATGGATATTCAGCTTGAGCAAAACCATAGAGTAGATTTTGTCCACTCTGCAGTTGTATGCCACACTTACATACAAAGGAAGACCATGTGTGTGAGAAGCTCAAGTGTCATGGGTTTTGCACTAAGCTATAGTGCTATGGAATTACTGCCTCATGGATAGTGGAGAAATGTCCTGTTTGTGATGTGAAACCAGCAACATGGGCAGAGATTGTAGGATTCTTGCTTCAGAAGTCCTATCTGCAGGAAAAGGTCTTGGCCAGTTCTGCTGATTCCTTGCTTCCCCAGTTCCGCACTGCCTTGCTTGCAGGTCAAACTGGACATTAAGATATACACCTGGTATAGCCTCCCCAAGTGTGATAAGTCTCAGTAATCAGACTTGTAAATCAAGTCTGTGTTTACCTTCCAGTGACCAAACAGAAAACAAAGGAGGTTGGCATGCAAAATACAGAAGCAAGGAAAGTACATGCTGTGTCAGAAAAGCATTTTTTGTAGTTTGAGGGAGCACCACTTCTAAATACAAGCTGAGTTATCTCATCTAAATCTGAACTTACTCCACCCACACTCACATCCTGCTCATCTAATGGCTTGCTATGCCTCTACCTCCAGACTTACCTTCCCACCTATCATCCCACACCCGTGTGCTACTGACAGATTTACCCAGACATACCTAAATAAAGCATGTTCCGACCCCTAATCCTGCATGCATCAAGAAGAGAAAAGGTATTCCCACAAAGCAGGAAAAATTCCAGGAGCAAAGATATCTCCTTAAATCTCTTAATGGTTACTGTTCTATTCCTTATGCAACCCTATGAGATCACAGAAATAATTGTCCTGCTGTTAAACGCAGGCTCACACCAACATTGTACCAGAATTGGAATGGAGAGGCCCGGAAGATGCTGATATCCATAATTCAGGAGTTGGGAAACTTTGGATAATCTGTAAGGCCTTTATTACTGTGATGGCATTTCCTACAGAGCAGGCAGAGAAAACCTCACCCATTAAATCAGCTAAATGTTGCTTTTGTAAAAATGAAATCTGTGAGTTCCTTATCACTGCTGGTGATTTGGAAGCCTAACCCATGGGGCTCCTAACTTCACAGAAGGACGGCGGTAATTGAAGAAGTGGCCTTGTTTTCTTGCAAAGTGACACAATTAGTTGCACACTCCATGAGCATAGCCTATGTGCTGAAAACCACAAGACCACTTCCAGCTCCCAGGAGGATGTTCTGTGACAGACATTAAAGTCTCCATATTTCAACAAAATGGGTTCCCAAAGAAACTTCTTCCTACTTGGGCAAGAGAGTTAGATTTCATTAGCAAATCTGATAACTGGGGGCCTGGAACCCAAGAGGAAGGACAGTTTTCTTGTTTTAGAAAGCTATTGCCCCACTTCAGGCATAGGGCGTATCTCTTGGAATGCTAACGGATCAGCAGGGACTCTAACTGAGAATTGTGGGGCATTGGTTAATTAGAACTGGTCAGGATAGGGTTCAAATCTCAACACATCCATGATGCATACTAGGTCACATGCAGTCCACCTCACAGGACTGTTGTTAAGGATAAAAAAAGAGATGAATAAAGAAAAAGAACCATGTGCCCTGGACTGAGCACCTTTAAAGGATGCTTCTGTTGGCAGGGACTGACGTTTCCATTTCTTTCTTTGCCCACAACAGAAGCCACAGTATAATGAATAAATAGATCAGGTAATTTTTGCGTAGTAACGGGCAACGTCAAGAGCATTTGAGCCTTTTCATTGAGTCAGATCTTTGTCCACCAGCTGGAGGTTGAGGAAAGATCATATTTCCTTCCCCCCACCCCCATTGGGCTTTTAAACACTTTTTGCTTGCTTTCAGTACAACAACTTTGTTGGGCTGTGTTTTTATATTATAACTTCTTATACTTTCAGCTTGTATCTCTTTTCAGTTCATGTTGTGGAGCCTTTTACATCCTGCACTAGCAGACAGGCAGAAATAACTAAAATAATGAATAAGGAAGGCAAGTGATATAGATGTAATAAATATCTATAGGTTTATGAATCTTAATGGCCCAAGTCCTTTCCAAGCTATGATAGTTGATCAAGAGTTAGGGTGGGGTCTCATCCACTTCAACTGTATCATGATTTTCTGTATGTTCCACTTAGAAGTGGGGTCACACCTATTATTATCTCTTGCCTTTTGAGAGCATTTTGGCCTTGCTGTATAAATTTCAATTTCCCTCTCGGCACCAGCTTGTGACTTGGAAGTTCAGGCATCTGCTTATCCACGGAGGTTTCTGCCACAATATATTTATTAAGACACCACAGGGCCCTTTGTTGTTCTCGGTTCAGCAGACGATGGCAGTTACCATGTCAGAATCCGTTAATTGCTACTACTACCACCGCAGATAAGAATGGAAGCCTGAGAACAATGTCGCTTACGAGCCTTAAATGAGATCATTTTTTAATGTGGAAAGCTCTTAACTGTCTCCATTACATTTGTTCTTTTTTTATCAGGCAGGTCAAGATAAGGATTGTAAGGTACTTTGCTTTAATTAATTATTCATGTTTCTCGCAATGAATAACATTAACCAGTTATGATAATACACTGCAAACTGCCATGGTTGTTCATCTTTTCCCTCCCTCCCTCTCTCCAGAATCCCCTCCCCCAAAAAATACATTTCCCAGAACAACCTCAAAAAAGATGCCTTAGGTACGTCTCGGTAGCTCAGTGGTAAAGGTTTCTGGTTGCAGAGCCAGCGGTTGAGAATCTGATTCCCCACAGTGCCTCCTTAACAAGGGTGGTAGCTCAGTGGTAAAGGTTTCTGGTTACAGAGCCAGCGATTGAGAATTTGATTCCCCACAGTGCCTCCTTAACAAGGGTTAGACTCAATGGATCCATAGGATCCCTCCCAACTCTGCAGTTCTAAGACAATGACAACATCATTCCCCCAAATATATTCACTATATCTCCGAATGGGCCTTGAAATTCTGTCTGGGTTTTGCCTAAGTGTTGTTGCTATGCAGTTCTGATGTATGTTGACCCTAACAAGGGTTTTGAGATGTGTGAGATGTTCAAGGAGTAGTTTTAGCAGTGTTCCCTCCTCATGCATTCTTATGACCAAGCTGGGATATGAATCTTGGCTGCCTGAATCCTAGATCAGCACTCTCTCCATTACATATGTGAACCACCACATTCACCTTAAGTTTTGGTTTAGGGTGAATGGCGATAACAATTCTTGTAAATTAGGTTCAAAAAACTCTGACACATCTCTTGCAGATGTGGCCCACTCGTGCCATCTACAGCAATAATAAATAAAAAGCATGTATTCATGAAGGCTTTCATGGCTGGGATCTAATGGTTGTTGTGGGTTTTTCGGGCTCTTTGGCTGTGTTCTGAAAGTTGGTCTTCCTATCGTTTCGCCAGACTCTGTGGCCGCCATCTTCAAGACACACTAATCACCCATCTACACAAAAAGACAAAAGCCTATCTCACAGCCATAAATACTGCACTCCCAAGCCAACTACACCAGAGCACAGAGTGCTGTCCTCTGAAGATGCCAGCTACAGAGACTGGCAAAACGTTAGGAAGAATAACCTTCAGAACACGGCCAAAGAGCCAAAAAAACCCACAATAACCAATAAAAAGCATGTTGAATAGGATTCATATGTGTATGAAATCTCATTCTTTCCTTGCACAAGGCTCCAGGTGAAATCAGCAGCATTAGTCAAGGGTAAGGTTGGTAGGACTTCTCCTGTCTGACTCTCTGGAGAGCCATTGACAGTCAATGTCCAAAATACTCAACTACATGGATCAGTAGTTTGACTTGACTGTGTCTGCTTACCTCTAAAACTGCATCCATTGGCTGGGTCAATTTCCCTCCCATCGATTTTGAATACCCAACGTCCTGGTACGTTGACATTAGTTGTGTCTTCAATGTTGACTATGTCTGGGGTTCTGGAACCAGGAATGCTGAAATAGTTGGTGCTATTCCCACCATTGAAACCTGCCTACAAGATAGAAAAAAAGGTGAGATTCATTTGCAAAAAGTGAGGTATGTGTTAGCCTCATGGTGAACACAAGGAAATGAAAGACAGAAGAAAACTCACAGGAAGCTAGATTTAGGCCGAATATCAGGAATCACTTCCTAACTGTTAGAGCAGTATGAAAAGGGAACCAATTACCCCAGGAGGTGGAGAGTGCTCCAACTCTGGAGGCATTCAAGAAAAAAAATAGACAACCATCTGTCAGATATATTTTGATTTGGATTCTTGCATTGAGCAGGTTGTATTCAATGGCCCTTTCAAATACTTTGTACTATGATTTTATGATTCTATGAAAGAAAAGCAGGCTTTGGAGTACTAAGAAGACTAAGAAATGTATTGCAGCTTAAGATTTTTTTGGGGGGGGTCTGGAATTTTTTGTGTGTCTGATGTACATCTATGTGCACATATGCATATATAAATTGGCATGCACAAACACCCACATAGATACATGTGAAGAATAACAGTTGTAAAATTAAGTGGAAATGAAATGCAGAAAGTGTGATGTGTGACAGTTTAATTGCAAATGAATGCAATTCAGGTGCAAATTTGTGCCAAATAAGCATGAAGAGTATTCACAAGAGGAGTGATTTGCATCTGACAAAGCAGGCTCTAGTGTACTTATGGTTTATAGGATCAGTTTATCGTGCTGGTATTATAAGCTATGAGATTCTGTTTTGCCACAGACTGACATGATTATTTTTCTGGAACATGTGTAAAAAGGAAACTGTGAACTACAGTTCTCTGAACTGTGGGCAACCAATTACAGACAATGAATCTGTAATTCCATCAATCTCATTATTGCCTATTGCTGTCGGCCACAGAACCATCCATTTGATGGACTGTGGATGGATGGAGGGAACCTTTACGTACCTCTCCCTACCTACTTAGCTTGCTTCCCTCTTCCACCACCAAAGCCCGTATCAAGGACCGAGCAAAGGGCAGGACGGTTTTTAAAGAAATGAGCCCTGTGCCAGATTTCCTGAAATGTGCAGCTGCAAGAAAGAAAGAAAGAAAGAAAGAAAGAGAGAAAGAAAGAAAGAAAGAGAGGAGGGAGGGAGGCAGGGATGGATGGAAGGAAGGAAGCAAGGAAGCAAGGAGTTGCAATTGGAAACTGATAAATATGCAGTTAGAGAGGCATAGGGAAAATTATATATCTTTGTTTATTAAGAACTTAAATGAGATTCAGTGCCATGTAACATAGTTTATATAAGAGCTGGGAAGTCCTAGGTTTCTCTGCTTAAATCAAACAACTGAAACCATATTTTAACAACTTCTTCTTGGCTAGGACCTTATCTTCTTCACCTTCATCCATACTGAAAATCTGCTGCTCCGGCTGTTTACAATGTGAAGTGGGCCAGTTTAGGTGACCAACTGAGTGGTGTGATTCATAAGCAAGCTGGAGGAGGTGGGAGCGGGAGCTTCAGCTGTTCTTGACAGCCATGCAAAACAAACAATTCATCTTGAAGATTTGTGTTTGGCTTTTGCTGGGCAGTATCTGAACAAGGCCTAGCCCTGGCCTATGGAGGGTGAGCTAAAGGTCCTACCTGAGCCATGACACCTCCAAGGCCAGTTAGAGGATCTCCTCCACTTGCAGTGCCAGTAGTCCAGTTGATTTCCTCATAGTTGAACATGGCAAAGGAGTTTGTTCCATCTGTGATCAGAAGAGCTTGGAAAGTATTTACCTGTTCAGAGTAGAAATACTTGTTCAGACAGTGGGGGGAGAAACACTTTCCTTTTGTCTAGCCCTTTCCTTGCATTTCTTTCCAAGACATCTTGAATTGCACAGGTGGAATGATATGATTTCAAAGCTATGGTTTGTATTATTTCTTTCTGTTTATTCCATGGATTTTAAAACCATCCTTTCAGGATAGGTTGTCTAAAAATACCTGTGAATTTACATACCAGGTACTATTTAAATTTAATCCTGAACAATCCAGCAGTATTTTCAGCTGATGGTGCTGGAAAAATTGATTAAACTCAGGGGATAATCCTGGATTTTTGGATGCAAAACTGAGCAAAGATCAATGGGTTTTTTGTGGTTTCCCTCCCCCCATTGACTTTGTCTCAGAAATGCACACACCAAATCCCACTGCAGTTCTAGAGCCTATCTCTGTAGATGCTACTTCAGTGAAGACATCTTAATTGAGCTCTTTTATACTGTGTAGGTCCTATAGATGGCAGCACTAGAATAAATAGTGGATGGCATGACTGAAACCTCAGGTTCCCCCCCCCCCTACATGCCTTTTATCTGATCAGTTTCCTTATTCAATAGTGTCATTATACAAAAAAAGTGGCCACTGCAGAAGAAATTCTGGCATTTTGCACTGAAAATTACACCTCCAGAAACAGCAAATGACATATCCTGCTAGGAATATTTTAGACATTGTTTCACTTTGGACGTTTTCCCTATTTGGACTGCAAATTGTATATCTAGAAATTCATCTAACAGGAAATGGATCCCCAGATCTCACTGGGGAGATGTAGCACTGGTAAGCATCTGTCTTTTTTTTTTTCATCTGAGACACTAAACTGATTATCAACTCCAAGCAGTGGTCCACATGTTTTTATACATGACTTTGATTGTTCTGCACAATAAACAAACATGCCCAGGAGAGGATGTTCTAAAGCAGATTTCCTGGAAGAGAAACGAAATGTCTCTTTAAAAGAGTTGAACTGCGTTAAAAAGAGCAATTGGCCTCTGAAAGAACTGTATATCTAAACAGCTTGTCTGCTTTCACCCATATGGCTTCTGTGAATGCAGCCTTCACCAAAGGCATTTCGAAGATGAGAAACATTAGGGTTGCTACCCACTCATAACATTTATGGTTTGCAAATATTTCAGGATTTCTGTCCATAGTAAAGCAGGACCACATACCCTGGATGCCCATGTTTATCATTGTGAGTTATTTCTCAAATTTTAAAAAAGGAAAAGAAAGAAAATGAAAATAAGACCAGAAGATGAAATTTCAACAGGATGTTTTGAATGAACTGTAGATTCCAGATGTTGTGGCAAATCCAGCGTCAAAATGGTACAATTTACATGACCATCATTATCAGTACCGGATACAGTATTAACATTTCCTTTGCACATGAAAGCACAAGGAAAAGACTTACAAGATCTCACCTATCAAATCCATCTTTCTGTATACTGTCTGCATTTTTACAGCATCCCATAACTGCTCAGAAAACAAGCTGGCTAAAGTTAACACCATCCCAATTATTAAAAGAATGCTGGTAGGTAACCATGATGCTGCTGTAATTTTGTTGTTATGTGCTGTTAAGTTGGCGCTGACCTATAGAGACCCTAATAGGCCTTTTAAGGTTAAGTGAGATATTTAAGGAGTTGTTTTACCAGTTCCACCACCCCAGTGAGCTTCCATGGCTGAGCAGGGATTCGAACCCAGGCCTCCTGAGTCCCAGTGTATCACTCCAACCACTAAACCACACTGAGTATCCCATAATTGCAATAAGTCCTCAGTAAGTCCTTTGATATCTAATTTGCTTAGCCCTGCTAATCTGCTAAAGACGAGGGCTGCCCATCATTTGGGAGACAGCAACTCAAAGTGGAGCAAATCTGGATCTCTCCCCTTTGAACTCATCTCTGGGATATACAGCATGGTTTAGGCTAATGAATCAATGCCTGTGCTGCCGTTTTAAAGTCCCCTCATGCAACGGGAAGTTCAAAATATGAATCACAGAATATTAAAATCGTCCAGCAGATGATACATCAAACAGCAGCCGCTCAGAGCTGCCAGCTCAGCCAGAGTTTAAATTGCTCAGCTTCAGAGAATTAAAAAGGCAAGAGATTCCAATTTACATCCAGTCAGGATACTGCCCACCGTCTGGGAAAGGCCCAATTCCAAAGCAATTTCAGTGGTATGTAACTTTCTTTTTTTATAGCTTCTCCATGACAGGTGTTTTATAGACACTCCTATTTCAGCCCCTATAAAAACGAGAGGAACATACCCACTCCCTTCTCCCATTGGACAGCTGTGTTAATTCCCCGGGTGCTAATGGACTGATTAAACCAAGGATCAATTGGGCCCAATAAATCTAAAACTCACACTAGTGAAGCACAAGCACATCTTAACATATAAAGCCATTCTCAGAGATTCAGAGTTTGGGGAGGTGGAAATAAGAAAACAGGTCAGTGCCTGGTTTTAACAGACTATCCATGTATATGTTTTTATTGTTTTAATCTATTTTGATTTCCAACTCACTGACACTTGCCCACCTTTTTTCCAGGTGGGAGGCACTAAGAAGGGGCAATATTTGTTTGAAAAGGTCACTGTCCAGCAAGATCTATCAGGTGTGTCAAAAACAAGGAGAGATTTGGACCAGGTTTATAGCTTTTTTTTAGCCAGAGTTCTACAGAGCCACACAAACTAACTTAATTCCTGCTGATTTTAAAGGTGCTGGAGCTTAATGGCAGTCATCTTTCCTTTAATAAGACAGTGTGGTACAGTGGGATTAGAGATCCAGACCCAAGCCCCACACCAGCCATAGGACTTAACAAATGAGCTTGGAACCGGTTACTCTCTCTGAACCTGGCCTACCTTACAGGCTCGTGCTAAGATTAAAGTAGAGCAGAGAAACAGTTAGGTATCTCACCCTGGCCTCTGAGAATAAGCACATTAGCCTTTCCTTTTCATCCATGTTACGATCAATCTTGAACTACACTGTGATGATGTTATGAGCCATTGCTTTCCTTTTCACCTCTGTACTTTTAAGAACCAGTAGGAATTGGTGTACATAGGCGTATGTATTTGGGGTGCAGCCACCACCACCCCTTTATGAAACAGCCTGCCTTGCACACCTGCTCGTATTAACATTGCACTGCGCTAATTTCACAGGTTTGCAATTAGTCCTAAAGCCATGCAGTTCGGGGAATCCGATTAGCTGCTTCGGCCAGAACAGTTTCCGTCCTTTTTATTTATTTATTTAAGAAATGAAAAGGCTCCTTATTTTCTGATTTCATAAGCAGGTTTTTAAGTGGTTGGACGGCAGCCAAAGAGGAATTTATTGTGGTAGAAGGTACACTGAAGTTTTTTTTTCTTTTCTTTTTTTAAAAAAAAAGACACCTTCATTTGCAGACCATATCAGGAAGATCAGCCTCGAGTCCATTTAGTCTCCACTGGGGATCAGTTTGGGACCACAGAGACTGGTTCAGTTTACTAGGTCAAATACCATTCCCATTAAGCAAGCACCCCTCAAAATAGCAACGGCAAATTCAATCACACACACACGGAGCTTTCATCTTATAGGAATCCTCTGTCCAACGGAAACCCCACCAGCAGATCATATGCACTGTGGGGGGGGAAATGCTAATGCTGGTAGGACTGAAATCAGCAGAACCAAGACACTGTGGATCACACTGTGGCAGTGCTTGGAATACAGTGCAGGGCAAAGCATGCAAAAATGACCCGGAGGGAAGGAAACACTGCAGATGGTACTGGAGAATTTAGAAGTGATGACCCATTGACGGTCTCCTGCTGAGAGAGCAGGACAAGGTGCATTCACATTTTAGCAGAGGTGTTTATCTCAGAAGGCTTAATTTCAGGTTTCCTGAAGGTACCCGGAGAGGAAACCTGGAAAATCTATACTGAAATTGATGACACTGAGCAGAATACTCCAGAAGGGTGCAGACCTATCATATATGCATTCTTTTCTCAAGTAGGCTGAAAGCGTAGAAAGCTCGCTGTGTGTTAAGGGCACAGTGCAGGCTCCAGGTGGTTAAAAACAGAGCTGGCAAGGAAGGCTGGCAGAGCCCACATGGATGTGAGGAGGGGAACGGTTTGAAGAGACCACACGTCCTTCTCAGGCGCAGACGGTGAGGGTAGAAAGCCAAGCTATGGATTTCGTTTGGATCCTGGAATCTCCTGCTCCCGTTGAACATGCTTTTCTACGTTGCAGTGATTCACTCCTCTATTATTTAGTACAAAATCAATGGGTGAATCATCGCACCTGAGCCTCTGCCACAGGCTTTCATTGTACGTAAATACAACGGACAAGTGCAGAAAAACAAAGTCAATTAATGTTGCTCCCTGCTGCATACTGATGCCACAAACTCGCTCTCCTCGCGTTTACATTTTGCAAACCGAACTTAAGAATGGGAGCCCCACAGACACTACCAAAAAACGAGGGTGTACATCAAAGAAAAAACACGCTAGATGGTACAGATGCAAAATTTGAGATGAGCTTTCTAATTCATCGCAGCACATCTCAGTTGGCTGGCTAAGAATGGTGACTTGTGAGCCTGCTTAAATGTCTCTCCGTCTCGGAGAAGTTCAAGGCCCCTATTTTATTCTTTATGGGCCCATGCCGCTAAATAAGATTTGGACTGGACAGTGCTAAGCATAAAAGGCATCATCAAAAGGAGCACCATCCTCCCTAAATGACGACATATGGCTATCCAACCAACCGTGGACATGCAGGGACTACCTAAGGTATTGAGCTGCCTGAGGCAGAGGGACAACCAACGCTCCCAGCTACCCAGGGGAAAGCACATAATATCTAAAGCCAGGCAACTCATTCTGTTACAAGTGGAAGAACACCACACAAATATCTCTTCCCTTCCCTGGCAGTAAATACCTCTTCCCTTCCCAGACCTAAGTAACTAATAATTAGCTGCCTTTTCAAGTCATCCATAATCTGACACCTGATGATGGGGCACTATCTTCACATTGGTATATAAAGTTTGTGCACTGACTGATGCTCTAATACAGTTTGTATAATCATCATCATCTTAGAACTGCAGAGCTGGAAGGGACCTGATAGATCATCAAGTCCAGCCCCGATGAAGGAGGCACAGTGGGGATTTGAACTCCTATTCTGTTACCTAAACCACTGAACTATTCCTTGTATACCAGTCTTGTTGCTTGTGATCAGTTCACCTCTGACCTATGGTGATCCTATGAATGAGCCACGTATGAAATATCCTGTCCTTCACAGCCCCACCTAGCTCTTGTAAACTCAAGGCCATGGCTTCCCTTATTGGGTCAATCCATTTCACATGTGGCCTTCCTCTTTTCCTGTTGCTGTCAACATTTCCTAGCATTACTGTCTTTTCCAATGTCTCTTGTTTTATATGCCCAAAGTATGACAGCCTCAGTCTTGTCGACAGCTTGACAATACACAGTCCAAAAACAGGTTTCTCAAAATGCTCACTCTAACTGTAAGAACTGGGGTACATGATGAAAATAGTTCCAGATTTAGGGGTGTGGTTTTACACTGTACACAACAATTTTTTGCCTTACCGGGGTTGTGCTGCTGCCACCATAAAATGTCACTTCTTCCCAGGTAGCAACAAAAACTGACACAGCGGTGAAGGATGGCAGGTTCTTGAAATACTTCCGGATATCTTTGGATATTTTACTCAGGGAAGCTGGATCTGTGGCCTCTCGGTAATAGATCTCCCCCCGGATCCCGTTGTGAACGTCGGCCCAAAAAGGAGCAATAAAAGCCCGACCATCAGCCGGGGGGAAGGACTCAGGGGTGAACTGGCTGACGAGCACATTAAAAGAAATCACACCGTTGTTGTTGACCTGCAAGGGGAAGAAGAAGGTTTGATTTAAGCCAGCAGAAACCTTGGCAACTAGAGGCAAAACTGTCAGCTTGAAAATTATACTTATGTCAGACAAGTCTGTGGTAAAGGCCAGGCTATTCAATTATGGGTTGTAAATAGGACCATATATCCAGGTTCCTGTGTGTCACTCATCTCATTCCTGAGGCTGAGATGGAATGAAGATTCAAAACTTGACACAGAAACAAAACACAGAGATCAAAGCTGTGGAAGCGACCATGTGATGCATTCCCATAGCGGCTCTCTTTCTGCGTTAAGGACACTGAAAGAGTCTGGATTCAAGCAGACCTGTGCCAAAGAAGCCAACCAAAGTCTAAATTATTCTCATTAGTCTACTAGAAAAAGGAAGGAAAGCATGCTCCTCTAAGCGGCACACATTTCCTTCTCTGTAAGACACTATTTTTCTGTGCGCAAGTGTTTTCCATAAATGAATAAACAGATGCGTAATGTCTGTGATCTCCAGTGAAACTGCTAATCTGACTATGACATGATTCGGCTGAGCCCAGAATATGTCCCCAAGCTATGTGTTTGGAAATAGTAGGGAGTGTAAGCTCTCTTCGAACTGTACCAAATCAGAGGGCAAGTTGGCGGTCTTATTTTTCGATGTTTCCTTATTATAGGAAAACCTTCACACGCACACAGCAACCTAGTATAGCAAGGAGAAACCTAGACTTACCCTTCCCTCTGATGCCACCACCCTTCTTGCCTAAATCTTACAAACACCCAAGAGGGGAGGGGAGAAAATCATGTGGGGAGGGGAGAAAATCATCTTTTGCAGGCATAGAACAGCTCTTAGGTTGTATTTATTAAACATGATGCAGAGCATGAACAATCATTACACTGTGTAAGGATATGAAATAGACCCAGTTGCTACAAGTGACTTGATATAAAGAAAACTACCTGCAAGTATATAGATCTCATTTGGCACTGACAACATTCTTAAACTCTTGTCATCGTTGCTGCAGCTTGGCTTTGAGTATAAAGTCACATAGAGTTCAAACATGTTGTTGAATTACTCTATGATCTTCTGGTCTGCAACATGTTTTTTAAATGCCATGAGTTTGAAGATGTGAGAACGATTTGACTCCACCACATTTTCAACACATATCTGCATCAGAGCATTGGAAAAATTACTGTTTGAGATTACCTAACTCCTGATCCACATGCTTTTTTTCTCGGAGTTGGAAGGAAGGAAGGAAGGAAGGAAGGAAGGAAGGAAGGAAGGAAGGAAGGCTGGGTCTTCCAGGCTCTGAGATGGACCAGTGGTCTACTTTAGAAAAAGGCACATCCTATGTTCCTTGTCCTTTAAAACCAAACCAAGCCAAACCATAGACTTCTGCTCTCCTGGTGATCGTGCCCTGACAAAGTAATTCTGTCTTCTCTAGCATGAATGTGGAAGATTAAGTAAATGGGGCAACCCCTCTGAAACAAATTCCTGAAGCAGGAACAAAATAATTCTTTATTTTCTTACAGCTCCCTCCATACCCTTGTTTCTTGTCATGCAACAAGAATAATGTCTGACGTGTCAAGGCGCGAGCATCACTTTGGTGTTTAATCACCTGCAAAAGGTAATTTATGGGCTTTTATATTCCTGCCCCACGAACATTTAGCCCATTTAATATACCTTTGACTTTCTTAATCATAAAGCCTATCACTTCATGAAATCTAAGAACTTGTCAGGTGGGATTACATAAATCTTCCCCGTCTGTGCAAGGCTGGAAGAGAACTCAGTTTAAAATGCAGGTTCTAATGGCCAGGAAATGAGTAATAGGGTCCAGCTGGTTGCAACAGACCCCAGTCCATTACTTACAAAAATGGTCCTATATGGGATGCCAAAGAAGATGAAAGGAAGGGAAAGCTTGATCTCCGGGGAGCTGCCATCATCCACTTTGGGGGTTTTGGTGTCATTCTGCCAGTACGGATACAAAATCGCCATCGCCTGAGCTGTAATTGGGACATATGCATTATTCAAATGCCAACAATATTATGTGCAGGCATCACCAGCATGCAGTCAAAACCATCCCAACTCCCTCATGCTGAAAGTAGCTATCTCAAGCGTGTCTGCATTTGAAAGGCATCCTTACTGACCATTAGTGACCCTTCGGAGACCATTAGGAACCACCTGTGCATTCGATGATGTGGGGCATTCAATGACATGATTCATTCAATGATGTGGTGAAGTGGAAGGCATTGTTAGAAGGACCACCTTATCATCTTGCATGTACCAGATCTTGTCCAACCCCCAAAGCTAAGGAGGGTTCGTTCGTTCATTTGTTCGTTCGTTCATTCGTTTGTTCGTTTGTTTGTTCATTATAAACGCATGTATTCCGACCGATTAGTGCAAAGCACTACTCTGGGCAGTTTACATCAAAGAGACAATCAATATACCAGACAAGACATTAAATCATCAGATAGAAACGAAATAAAATTGGGAAATTGGACAAAAAAAGTATACAGCTGCGCATAAATAAACCTAAGCAATAACAGGACAGTGGCAAATCTTGAATACCATTTTTCTGATGATGCCCCCAAAGGATTCTTGAAACAGCCTAACTTTTGACATCCTCTTGAAGGCAGGCAGGGAGGAAGCCTGGTGCAGCTCATTCCATAGGGATGGTGCCACCACAGAGAAGACCTGGTTTGTCATGGATGTCTTTCTGGCCTCTCTTAGAGTGGCAACCAGAGGAGCATACCTTGTGCAGATTGGGTAGGAAGGGCTAATGTCCTTAGGGAAAGGCACTCCAACAAGTAGCATGGTTAGTACTTGGATGGGTAGACCACCAGGACCTGGAGGTAAAGCTAGGGAGGGATCTTGCTGGAGATCCTGGAGAGATGATGCTGCCAATCATAGCTGGCAATGCTGGGACTGATGGACTAATAGCTTGGCTCATCAGAGAGCAGCTTCCTGTGTTACTGAATCTTGCCATTCCCAGCATGGAGAGAACCCTATTGCACTTCTGTGCACTTCTGTTTGTGATGGCCATCACAAACTAATATTAAAATATATCAACACATAGGATTTATTATTTATTTATTTATTTATTTT